AAAAAATGTACGGAATCTTCCTGTTAAATGCGCCGAAATGTACGGAATTTGTGCGGGATAGATACGGAGTAGGTGCGAAGTAGGTGTGGAATGCGTACGAAACACGCACGGAATACACACGGATTTTACGGAAAACATACGGAACCCGTTTTTCTCGTACGTTTCCCGTATGAATTACGTGATGTGCGAATGTGAAATTCGTGCGGAAAACGTACGGAAAAAACGAATTCCGTATTAGTAGTATGTTTTCCGTAAAAACCGTGTGTATTCCGTGCGTGTTTCGTACGCATTCCGCATCTACTCCGCACCTACTCCGTATCTATCCCGCACAAATTCCGTACATTTCGGCGCATTTAACAGGAAGATTCCGTACATTTTTTCCGACCTATTCCGTAAAACAATACGGTTCATGTACTGTTTTACTGTACAAATTCCGTAAATTTTCCATACATTTTCCGTACCAAATTTTTTATAGGGCTGATGTAAATATTTATTTAGAATTAGTAATTAGTTGATAAGAATATTATTGGAGAATAGAGTAGCACATATCACATTATTTGTACTGCCCCAAGAGGTATAAATACACTTGGCTTTAGACCAAGTTAATAGAATAATTAATAAAATCAATTGTTAATATTGTTAATAACAACCTTGATAACAACAACATAATAATAACTCTTAATAAATATATAACCTTACATAAAATAGTCTTTGACTGTAAGTAACTAATAAACCCAGTGTGATTGACCCCCCAGCCCTTCTAATGGTTAATGGTCTGGCCAACCTTTAATTATTAGTTGGGAACCCTTTTAATTATTCAGATACATCTCAAGGGGACGCCTTTGGGATATAATCATTTACATAGAACCTAGGGACCCTTTTATCCAGGAAGATAAAAGTTATTTTTATTATTAATCTTTGACCATAAGTCAGCAAGTAGGCTGTGTGTCATAAATATATAGTTAAAGGAAACTTGACCATAAGTCAGTGAGTAGGCTGTGTGTCAAACAATAGAATCAACTGTAAGTCAGTGAGTAGGCTGTGTGTTGAGCTATAAATAACCTATTAGTTAGGAAACTCAGATTGCATGCTTGCACCATAGTTTATCCAATCAGTTTAACTGAGTTATGGGTTATTACAGTCAGAACTCAATAAGACATAACTTGATAAAACGAATTTTTGTTATAACGAAGTTTTTCTAGTTTACCAATTCATTTATAATAAAATCAACTCAATAAGACGAAGATTGCTATTGTTTCACTTTAATGTTTAAGATGATGTTTTCATATGGTTCCATATATAGTAAACTATAACTCAATAAGACGAATAACATCGGTTTATCGAAGGAAACTTCGCTTTATTTTGTACAATTTTATAAATGATTTACAGTAGTG